TTTTTTTTTTTTTTTTTTTTTTTTTTCTTTTTTTTTTTTTTTTTTTTTTTTTTTTTTTTTTTTTTTTTTTTTTCTTGTTAGCCATTTCCTGGTCTTCTGATAGAAGAACCGTAATGTAAACCGTCCTGTCTTTAACATTCTAACAAAACACATTCTGAAATTAAAGTGAGGCAGTGCAAACCAGTTTGTCTTAATCTTTTCAAATCTGTTTTATTTCTTCAGTTTCCATTTCTTCTTTGTGTGTATTTTGAGTGTTTTTTTGTTTTTTCTCTCCACTACCTTCCCCCATCCCATAGGATGAGTAACTCTCTAATTGGTAATAATCTTATGTAATATAAATATCGGATGTTTGCTGAAACTCTTGTGGTGTAGCATATTTATCACAGCTTTTGGCATTATCTTCCATTGATTCATTTCAAACACATGGGTAGGGTTCATAGACATTCTTTTAGTACTTATTAACCAGTGTGAGCATTTTGATACCGCGATGTGCAATCTAGTCTAGAGGCTTTAATTTAAAACCGCAGGACGTGTGTGACCTGTTGCCACACGGTATGCTTTAGGTCAGCCCGGGACACGGTCAAGTCCCAGCCCTTCTTCCTTTGCCTATTCTAGAGCTTGGTTTATTTTTGTAATCCAGACTTCCTTCACACTGTAGTGTCAGTGGAATGTTAAATATTGGAAATCCCACTCTGATTACAAACTGTACTGGGCAGATACATTCTTTCTCAATATTTAATACATTTTTGTCTATAATTATTTCTCTTCTGCTATACGGTAACGTGCTGGGTTTCCCTGTTGGTATGCAAACAAAATATTACATACACAGCGTATCTCCCCACGTCTTAGCTTTGTATAAATAAATACTGCACGTAACGAAGCAATGTGTAAGTATTTATGTAGTTGCATAGGTTTGGATTTAAAATGAAACCATGACTAAGCAAAGTATAATTTGTCATGAAGTAACAACTAGCAATTTACAGCTTTTTTTTTTATTTTTTTTTTTCTCTCCTATTTTCGAGTTGGTAAAACTAATCAGTTTTTTTTTTAAATGAAATTTAAAGTATTTGGGTGTGTCAGAATCTAGTTTCGTCAGTTGCTGATAAACATCAAAACTTTGTAACAGAAAAAAATCTGGCAGATCGTGGAGACCGCTTTAGTGGGAAACACAAAACTGTTTGTTTATAATCAGGCGGATATTGTTTCCATTTGCTGAGCAGGTCAAGAAAACTTTTCTCTGTTGAACGTATAGAAGCACCAGAGTATCACCCTACGCAAGCTTGGTAGCCTGGACCATGACAGTTTGATTACAATTTGCCAAATCTAAAACTAGTGTGTTGATAGAAAAATAACCAGCACTGAATTGATGGAAGGAATAGAACTGCACATGATTCAAAAAGCCAGCAAATTTGTGGAACATTAGATATCAGATTTGTCTATGGGTCACCAACTAAAATCAGAAATAAAACCATTTATTTGCAAAACAAAAATAATAAATGAACTAAAATTATCGTTAAGTTTTTGTATAACTCACATAAGCCCATTTGATCCCCTCTCCCAACCTCTTCTTCTTTCCCTGGTATCAGTTCAACCCACCATTTTCAAAGTTGTTATGCTACCTAGAGGTCTACTTGTAGTTTGTATGATGAATGTACCCGTAAATCTAATCTATTGCCCTCCCCTGGGCATGCATTTAAAAGCACATGTCCATAGGATCCGGCAGCTTCAACTGCAACATTTACTCACTTGAGCAAGCTAAAGTGCGTTAGGGATGTGGGGTGTCACTTTAACCCCTTAAGGAAAGGCAGCACCAGGGACCTTCTCGCAACATAACTTCATTGCAATTGATTTATTATGGTGTTGGGCATGGTCCTTTTATCTATCGATAAAATACATGTCCTGGCCTCTCTGAGGTTAATGGAGGTTACATTCCTGGTCTGCTACTGCATTTGCCATTATTCATTTATTCCCACTTTTGAAATGGAGGAGATGGGGAGAGCTAGTTAGTGCAATTTTCTCTCTCCCCCATTGTGTCCCCAGTCTATCGAAATCTCTCTGCAGCAAATTAATATCTTGCTCACATTGTATTACTTTACAGAGTTTTGTGTAATCTGCAAACACTGAAACATGACTTTCAATGCTTTTTTAAAAGATCATTTATTAACATGTTAAATAGAAGAGGTCCCAGAACAGAACCCTTATGGACACCACTTGCCACCTTTGTCCAGCTTGACAATTTACCATTAATGACTACTCTATGTAATTTATTTATTTTTAAGCCAATGTTCTACCCAAGAACAAGCATTTATATCTAGACCGATTTTCCTTGAGTTTGAACACTGATCTATTGTGTGGAACTGTATTAAATGTCTTGGCAAAATCCAAATAGATCACATCCACTGCAACACCCTGTTCTATACTTATACTTACTACTTTGTAGAATGCAATCAAGTTAGTTTGACATTACCTGTGCTTCATAAAACCATACAAATTTTTGCTGATAACCATGTTCTTCTCAAGGAATTCTTGAATATTATCCCTCCAAGTAAATCACAATCAAAATGATAACTCTGTTTAGGGCTACAGCTATTGAGCACCAATCTCTGGTACATGTCGTGGAGAAAGGGGGTATTATAGGAAAATGTGTCTTGGGGTTTTGGCAACATTCTTTGATGTATTTGTAATTCCTAGGCAGGTATCACTTTTATTGTAAATTGATTAAAATTAAAGCTGCCAGTCTGTACTTTATCCTCATAGTTATAATGTATTTTTATATGCTTTTTTGCGGTCCAAATATTTATGGCCCCACTGCACATAGGTACGTAAGGAAACCGCCACATATTTACAGAGCAGCGTGGTGATTTTTTTCAGGTAGTTGAACTCTGTGTGCGCTTGGTTTCCTGTTCCTGTAAACTCAGGTTACTCATAACCAGGAAATGAAGATGATAAAGGGATAAGCATTGTAAATGTATACAGGCATACCATGTGCTAGTCTGTCTGTAAAAACGCTATGACTAATGCTTATAGAAATTAGGGAGCATATAGACCTTCTCTATGAAATTTGGAACAAAGACTTACTGGCTCATGAGGTCAGACAGGTCTAGTAGAAGATAATGTAGCATTTTGGTTTCTGGCTATGAAATGTTTGCAGGTTTTTTTTTTTTTTCTTCTTTTTCCAATATTATGCAATATTTACAGTTGGATTTAAAGTTGTTTCAATACTCGATATTTATTGTAATAGGGTGGAGTGTTAGAATCACAAGTGGAGCACTCACCACTAATGAGATCTGGCTTTTTTTAATATCAGGAAGCAAGGATGTCTGGATTATTGTTCTATTTTAAGCTAAAGTGAGAATTGCCAAGAATTCAAAGTGAATTTCCAAATCGAGGCAAAAACAGCCAGTTTGGAAAATGTCTTCTGCAAGTCAATTTTGTGTTCACTTTGGCTATCTTGCTCTTGAATCTGAAATTAATTTAGAATTTCCTGCAATTCTCACTTTAGTGGATAATCTTGTTCTGCTGTCCTAATAGTAATTTAAAGCAAACCTTCTAATAGGTGTCAACTCTATCTGTACATTGTGTCGGTACTTACCTGAAGTTCTTCCATCTCCTGCAATGAGTTCAATACCTTGCCCCACTCCCACGTGATCTTTCTAGTTCCTAGCTGGTATGTGGTGATTAGAGGGCAAAAAATAATTTTTGTTTCTACGCTATTTAGGGCAGGGCTGCTGCTGTTATTTCCTCCCACCCCCTCATGGACCCCGTAGATATAGTCTGAGTGCAGTAAAAAGGAACAAGGAAAGGGATTGTTTTAGCCTCCACTTTTCCATTTGGGAAATTTGAGAGTTTAGTGAATAATCCCATCGTGTTCTATTATAAAAGGTGGATCAAGTTGTCCTTTTATTGTCATGCTGTTTGCCATTGGCAGTTTTACACCACTTCCGTATACAGTGGGACCTCGGTTTACAAACGCCTCAGTAAACATCAATTTTTGGTTTACAATTGAAAATCCATTGAAAATAATGCCTCGGTTTAAAAATTTGTTTTGCAATACACAATTGCACCTGGGAGGTTTATAGCACTGCCCCCTGCATGCTGGAGCCGGTGGGTAGCACGTGGCGTCGAGTGTGGAGGTGTTGGAGCGGCTTTTGCGTCGAGTTTTGGAGCCATTCTGGAAATTGTTTGCAGTAGTTTTGGGACTTTTTGGTGCATTTCTCAAGCTGTGGAAAGGTAGGAAGCTGAGCTTTGTCGTTTGCATGCCTTTTATGGTGTGTTCTGCATTGTGGGTTGGTTTCCATGCCAGCTCATTTTGACTTATTTCTGACCTCCAGAACGGATTAATTGGTTTTCAATGCATTCCTATGGGAAACCGAGTCTCGGTTTACAAATGTTTCGCAATAAGAAACGTCCCGGAGAACGCATTAAATTCGTAAACCGAGGTCCCACTGTATATGTATCCTGTGGGTGAACTGGATATAAATATATTCACTAAGTGGTTAATCTACTTTTGGAAATTCAGCTGACTTTGGTTTAAAATTTTAACAAAAAGAAGAAAATTGGAAATCACACTCTACTAATGTTATACAAAGCTGCCATGTTATAATCTATAATTCACTTTAAATGCTGACAACTGAATCATAACCACATTGAGCTGAGTGAATCCCTCCTATTTTCAAATGGATCTTACTGTTGCAGTGAAATTCCTTTTTTAAAGTAGTTGTTGGCGCTGTACTCTTGCGAGAGTAGAACACTAGTGTCGAAGGATGATCCCACAAGACCGCTGTTTGATCCATAGACACGTTTTTCACTCAGCCGTCACAAATGTTGGCTGAATGCTTGACGTAACATAGTTCTTCTGCCTTTTGTCATACACAGGAACAACACATAAGACAAATAGTACATATTTTGTCTTACGATATCTTTTGCCTGAGATAAAATTTTAGTGAACAGTGAAATTCCAGCACAGTCTTTGCACATTTCATTAAAGACAAGGGTATGACTGAGCGGCTTCAAGGATTGTATGCATTTTCATTAGGATGACTTAGAATTGGGGAGGCTTAGAGTTTTATCAGGGGAATTGGTGTTTGCGAATAGCCAAATTGTATGGTGTCAATTCAATTGATTTCAGTAGACATGTTTTTTTGTTTTTTTTTGATTACAGGGCTCAATGTCCACTTGCCACGAGCCATTGATAAGTGAAAAGTTATCCTTAGCGAGTAGAATTTCATTACCGGTCAGGATGCTATGGCTTGCAGTGGTTCATAACTTAGAGGCTTGGCTACTGTCATAGGAATTCAGATTTTAAGCAATGTATTTGTAAACTTACATCTAGCCTGTTCCCTCTATGGGTTAGTCTGCTTTTCTTAAAAACGTTGTTAATACCATGTGCACATATTGTGCACTTCCTGCAATGATAGTTTTACTCTATGCACAAAACCTTTCTTTTCTTTGTTCCAGACAATTATCAGTAAATTGTACTGCTCACTGGGGTAATTGTGCAACCTTGTATAACTTTACTATTGTCGTTTTTTTTTTTTTTTTTTTTTTTTTTTTTTTTTTTTTTTTTTTTTTTTTTTTTTCCTTTCAGTTTCGTTTTCCTTTTGCCCCTTGATGATTGTACTTCACCTTGCCACTTGACTTTATTTCTGTTTAGTATCTTTTCTTCCTTTGTCCAGATCTTGGTATCCGAGCACTGCCATTTTGTTCTTCTCTGTCTGTGGGAATCCCTTCTGTGGGATTATTTTTGACTGTGGTTACTCAAAAGTAACAGTGCATTGGGTTCTTCCCATTACGACTATTTGCTATTCATTATCTTCTATAAAAGTGGTCCCTTATGTTGCCTTACATAAAAATAATCACTTGGGTGGCTGCCCTGTCGCTTGTGCATTGTGCGTTTCCAGGCTGTGCCTACAGGTGGGACCAGTCTTGAATTGAGGTTTCATAGATTCTTTGTATTGGCACGAATCTGCTAAACTTTGAAACCAAGTAGAGATCGTCCACTGCTAGTCAGTGCTGTGCGGATGGCAGTCTGCTTCATGTTTTGCACATAATCTGTACAGTGTAATAATGTATCTGTATAGATTAGAAGTGATTTGTAAGACAGTGAATTTGAGGGGCTTCTTGGTGTGCGCCTCACTTGTGGAGTTTAATGACTGCTTGTTGCCTGTCGTATCCGTTGATGATGCCAGCTATTTATTGTCGTTTTTGTTTAGAGCTTGTTTTTATAAGAAGTACAAGATATCGGGGTCAGTCATTATTCACATCCTCTGCAGCTCTCCTTCGAGTTCCAATGCTATCACAAAATAGAGACCTACCCATCTCTTTGAGATTAAAGAGATTACGTGCCTGTTCACTTGCCATCATACCTTGATTGCCCGTGGACTACAGTGACAGTTGATGTGAAGTAATGTAATTTGCAATCTGTAATATTTAAACCGTTGCCTTGAAAACACTGTGGAATATGAAGAAATGGAAATGTTCTACATGTGGTGTTTTTTCCTGGACGAAGTTGTTTTTTATTTTTCCCTGCATTCCTTTGAGTTGTACAATGATCCGCACTTTGTTCAAAGATGTTTTGCAGCTAGATGAAAATGCCTCTGTAGAGTCATTCTGAGGTGACTTGTGTTTTACTTTTGCAAAATGTAGTAAATCTGCAGCAGGGGGAAATTCGTCCATTTTGTTCAGAGTACAGTATATACTCGAGTATAAGTCTAGTTTTTCAGCACATTTTTTGAGCTTAAAAACCCCCACTCGACTTATACTCGAGTCACTGTCTGTATTATGGCAACTTAGAGAGCCGCAGCCGTCAGAGCCATGGCAACGATCCGCGCGGCAACCAGACCGCGAGACTTACAGTGGAGCTGACCGGAACGGAGGAGAAGGGAGCTGACAGGAGCTGCAGGAAAGGTAAGTAAATGCTTCCTGCCGGCCCCCCCACTTCACAGCCCATGCCACTGGTCCACCAGGGATTAAGATAGCCCCCCTCCCTGACCAGTTAACAAGCAGGGAGGGGGGACAATTTTTTTTTTAAATAATAAAAAAATAATAATATTAAAATAAAAAATAAAAAAAATTAATAAAAATGCCCTCCCCCCACCTAGTTCACACACACACACTACACAAACACACACTCTGCATTATATACACAGAGTGTGTGTATATAATGCAGAGTGTGTGTGTGTGTGTGTGTGTGTATATAATGCAGAGTGTGTGTTTGTATGAGTGTGTGTGTGTGTGTGTATATAATGCAGATTGTTTGTATGAGTGTGTGTATATATAATGCAGAGTGTTTGTTTGTATGAGTGTGTGTGTGTATATAATTATAAAAATCACAGAATTTCATAGCCCCAAGTTTTACCCTCGACTTATCCAAGAGGCACAGCATATTTCACAATTGTTGGTCACAAAACTGCACTCGACTTATACATGAGATCGACTTATACACGAGTATATACGGTATCTATGTATGCCGTATTAGTCCAGTGATGTAGATGTAAAAAAAACCAGATAAAATACATATCTTGTAAAACCTTTTTTATTGGATTAACATCCCTTTTTTTTTTTTGACAAGCTGTGTGTGTGTATCCTGTTATTTATGAACCGTTGGTCAGACACTTCAGCAAGCCAGCCGCACATTGACAAGCCTCTTCAAGTTAAAAATTTGCTTTATTATCTTGGGATTGGTTCATTTAGATTCCAGCCTACACTTTACCCCTAAAGCTGTTTAAATAGCATGCATTTGTGAAGGGCTCATTTATATTCCACAAGCAAAGCCAAAGTTGTTTTACTGTTTTATTTTTTTTTTAACACTAGGATAACCGCTTTCAGATAGACATTTACTTGATATCTTCCTCTAGGCTAGGAATGGCTATAGGCCTACTATTGCTTTTGATGTGCCATCACATTGAGTAAATCGAAATGTTTTTGACTGCAGCTAAGAAAAGCACAACTCTGAACAGGCACGGTATAATTTGAGTCCTGTTAAAATTCTGGAAACGTTTTACATAATACAAAATGGGATCAGCACACATTTGCATTGATTATAAATCAATGAAGGCCAAATAAAAAAACAAAAGCAAAACACTTCTCAGGTGAAATCGTATAGGGGTTCTAGTACACAACATGGCCATGAGGCCAACCTTGGTGGTGGACCAATAATCTATTTTTGCCTGACTAATGTAACTCTTGTTCTGAGCAATCATGTTTCCTAATACAAAATATTTATTACCCGAACCTTTCAAAAAGCAGTAAATGTAGTGCAGTTTTTACTAAATAATGAGCTGTTGAAGTAAATACAATTCCACCTTTTATTTTATTTTTTTTATTAATTTATTTTTTTATTTTTTTGGGAGTCCAATTACAGGTGTCACATATTTAATTTTATTTGTTCCTTTTCCACCAGGAATAACAGATGAACAGATCCTACAGACCGGAAATAGGCTTCTTGAAGGGTGAGTGTGTTCATCTCCTGGAACCTGCCTAGGGGTATTTAAATTTTTTTTTTATTTTTTTTTTATTTTTGCCATACTAATTTAAATAATTCTGCTAACTTCATCAGTTTAAAAAAAAAAAAAAAAAGTGTATGATAGTACACCAGTCCAATAGTCCCACACATGTGAAGCACCAATCTCTTTTTTTTGTGTTGTGCATTTTGTTTTAAAGGTAAATACTTTTGGCATGGCACATACCGTGTTTTAAGCCCAAGCTTATTTTCGGGGGATGCTCCTTGTGATGATACAGACTATCGTTAAATGGTGCAGCTATTCTCCCTCCACCCCTGTTTGTGTGTTTCCCATGCGTAACAAGTTTTGGACTGTTCTAGCAAATCTGATTTGTTGCTGCAATAACTGAAGGATGTCAATTCTCTTGTTACTTTTTAAAAAAAAAAAATTTTAATTTTTCAATATACATTAGTCTTTAAAACTTAATCCTAACTTTATTCTTACACTCATATGGTTTATATATTCTGCATTTCTAATTCCTAATAAAGCCCTTTCAGCAGACTGTAATGTAATCCTCTGGGCATTGCAGGTTCATTGCTGACAGGGTGCAGCGGGCTCCTAACAGACCTCCTGTTAATGTGCCAGAGCTGGGCATGGCACAGCTGATGGATCCTGCAACCAAGGAGCTGAGTGAGTGCCTGCGAAAGATAGGGGACGAGCTGGATGGAAACATGGAACTGCAGAGGTAAGCATGCACCTTCCATTCTGTTCTTCTGTCCGTTAACTTCATCTAGAAATATGTCTACAATTATTTATCAGTGTTAGAGTTCTACATGCAGTGTCATTCTTTTAGGGACATCTGGGTACTACTCAATTCTACTCCTATCAGCTGCACACTGAACATAGCTTCTCAGTTCATGTATCCTGCTAGTTTGGGGCTTTTTATGTAGAACTGATAAAATCACTTTCCTCCTTTGTGCCACTATTAATAGGGCACTTCAGACAGCAAAACAATGTGTTGAAAATAAAGTCCTTTTCTCTCAAATTACTACTGTAGTATTTATGATGTGTAATAACTTTGGCATGCTCTCTGTGTAAAGCACTGCTTATGATATAAGCACAGAAGGTCTATGGAGCTTTAAAGGACCACTATAGTGCCAGGAAAACATACTTGTTTTCCTGGCACTATAGTTCCCTGAGGGTGCCCCCACCCTCAGGGACCCCCTCCCGCCCGGCCCTGGAAAGGGGTTAAAACTTACCTTTTTCCAGCGCTGGGCGGGGATCTCTCTGCCTCCTCTCCTCCTCCGATCCTCCTCCTGGGCTGAATGCGCACGCGTGGCAAGAGCTGCATGCGCATTCAGCCCGTCGCATAGGAAAGCATTTACAATGCTTTCCTATGGACGCTTGCGTGCTCTCACTGTGAAAATCACAGTGAGAAGCACGCAAGCGCTTCTAGTGGCTGTCAATGAGACAGCCACTAGAGGATTAGGGGGAAGGCTTAACCCATTAATAAACATAGCAGTTTTTCTGAAACTGCTGTTTATAAAAAAAAAAAAAAATGGGTTAACCCTAGAAGGACCTGGCACCCAGACCACTTCATTAAGCTGAAGTGGTCTGGGTGCCTAGAGTGGTCCTATAAGAGCATTGATTGGCTGAGTCACCTCTTTGTTTAGAGAGATCTCCTTGCTAAAGCTGTAAAATATAGGAAATTGGTTCAATGTGAGAATCATTACATTTTAGGGAGGTCAACTAATGCTGGCCGAAGTAATGTTTCACAGAAGAGACTAGAATGCAGATTTTTGTGATACATGTTTTGAGTTGGTTACTCCAACTTAATGAACGTTGTGATGGCTTTCTTGTGCTTGTATATTTACTTCTTTTATTTTAAACTACAGTAGTAAGGTTTACTAATTGGACACTAGACGGTTCTCACTCAGCAGCAACCCGTTTGTCTATTTGAAGATTTTCCAAAACTTATAGGCAAATTGTACTATATCACTTATTTCTTAAACACACAACATTTCCCATGGCAGGAAATATATTATCATATTGTCATAGTGATAGCTGATAATATCATTGGTTTTGTGAGCTGTTTTATTACTACTCACCTGTTGCATTTCACTCCTGCTCTGCCTTTTTTTTTTTTTTTTTCAGAAGAAAAGTTTTATACCGATATTACAGATATTTAACTACACTTCTCATAATGCTTAGTTAGTCTGAAGGTGAATCCTGCACCTTTTGAAATAGTGACGGGCAACACACCTAAATTATTCTAGCTTGCTGAAGTGCTTTTAGGGTGATAAAAAAAGGTTTTCATTAAAATGCTATCAAGAGAAATCCACAATTTAATACAATTATTTGGTAACACCCACTGGCTGTCAAGCTTCCTCGCGATCTCCTTTTGAGCAGTTGTTCAAGCTAAAGTGAGCCTGGATGCTATAGTAATTGTATGTGTTTTTTGTTTTGTTTTTGCCACTTGGGTGTGCAAGTGCACACAGTCGCATCTGACTGTTTGCCAGTCTGACAGGCTTAGTGCACTGGACATAACTCGCTGAGCTTGAAGATCATGGGCTCCTATTGATTGAGCAACATTCTATGTTTTTCTGTTTTATTTTGGTGTCTGCAAGGCTCATCGATGAGGAGCTTGTGATTGGACACTGTCCAGCACTGACTGAGACATTTGGTTCTGGGCAGAATGTGGATGGGTGGTAGTAGCTGAAGACCGGAGATTTGCAGCTACTGTTGACTAGGTTTTCATTAAACCAAAAGAAAATATGCAAGAATAATAGCAGGTTTTTGTTTAGGGTGTATTCACTAAATGGATATATGTGTGTGTGTGTGTGTATATGTGTATGTGTGTGTATATGTATATATATATGTGTGTGTGTATATATATATACTCTCTCATAATCTTCTCTTTTGCCCAATTATGTCTTTCAGAATGATTGAACAGGTGCAAAGCAATTCTCCCAAGGAAGTGTTTTTCAAAGTGGCTATGGAAATGTTTGCTGATGGGAATTTTAACTGGGGAAGAGTTGTTGCACTCTTCTATTTTGCCTCCAAACTTGTTCTCAAGGTGAGTGACCTTTTCTAATTTTTTTTTTTTTTTTTTTTTTTTAAACACCCACTCTGCTTTCTCACCATTTTCTGGGCATTGTAGACACTGTTTCTAAATGTGCTTACTCTAAACATTAATGGAAAGAAATCTAAGAGTAGGAGAATAACTTTAATTCAGCTGAACACAACATCTGGAGTTTTGAGGGCTGAGGGGTTCTTGACCATTAAAACGTATTTTATTATTTTTAATTTTATTCCTTTTTTTTTTTTTATTGAAATAAGGCATATAGAATAGATACAGTGGGACTTGCAAGTCCCCATTTGAGGGGTAAGACATGCTGATCTCAGAGCATTCAAAGGTAGGGTGGGGTCCAAAGGGGGTGGGGTAGGGTAGTGGCTGGTATGAAGGTCAGAAGAGAGGGGGGTGGGGTTTAAATTGAAAATATCCCAACCCCACTCTGTCGGGAAATATGTCTGGAGTGCGATAAGTATAGACTGAGCTCAGTGCCACGGTGTGGCTGCGGAATTCTTCAAGCTCTTCTTTTTCTGCTCCATCGCGTGCCCTCCTGTAGAGCCGGGGGAGCCAGTATATGGTTTCCGTCCATCTCTGGCATTACTAAACGGCGTGGGGGCAGAGCAAGAAGAGCTTGAAATTTATAGCTCCCTCGCCGCACGATTCCATTCCCTCTCAATTCGCCACTTTGGTGGTGCAGGAGGCTAATTCCACAGCTGCTGAATGGGCTGACAAGCACCCATTTGTTGAGCCCTTGTTTAATAGTTGGACAAAGTACTGCTTGATCTGTATTTTAATAACCCCTTCATATGGTTTACTAATTTTTTTTTTTTGTTTCTTTTTTGTTAAATCTAATCTTATCATTTCTGTAGGCACTGTTTACACATGTTCCAAATATGATTAAAACCATCATCAACTGGACAATGGAATACCTCAGAGAGCATGTTGTCCAGTGGATACGGGATCAAGGAGGTTGGGTGAGTTGGTTACTTGCCTTTGTTCCAGTATGGCTGTTATGCTAAGGTGGCAACCAATTTCATTGTTTCATCTTAAATAATTAAGTTGGGAGACTTTCCTCTAATCTGTTTTGTTCACTCTTTTGTCCTACTTATTAAAATTAATTTTTTGTAGGCTCACATGCAGCTAATTTCTTAATGAATAAACCCCCAGCTATCCGTGCAGTCCACAGAGCCACTGCCATGCACGCTGTTTTGGGATATGTATTTCTCTCCTAGGTTTTCCATGTGAGTTTGCAGTATTAACACTGGCCCGTTCCGTGCTTCTTATTCAGTAAATAAAAATTAGAAGAACTTGTGCATAGAAACAGAAAGACCCCTTCTGCGTTCATTTACATTTTTAAATACTTCCTTTAAAGAATTTTGAGTGGGTGGGCGTATAACTCCAGCGATGGTTGTCTCTGGGTTTTTTCTCTCTCCTGTAAACTGCATACTTATAACAGAGTGAAGAGTCAAGAGGGACTTGCTCCTCAAGTATGCAAGGAGTGCAGGTTGCTGGGCTGTTTGATGTGACCCTCTTGTGATGGGGAAAAATGTAATTAAAGAGCGATAACAATAAATGGGCATGTTCCAAAGCGGTTGCATATATAGTTAAACTCCTCAACTTTTATTTAAGTGAAACATTTTTTCTGCAGCTTGAATTGTTACTGTTTCTGTTTTAAAGTGCCTTAATTTACAGGCAGTTAGGTTTAAAGCTTGTGTTAGAGAATTTGGTTTGGTATGAGTTTAACTAACTTGGTGAATAAACTCTACAAACTCAAGGGGGTAGTTCACCAATGCGTGTCCTCCTTTTTTTTAATTTTTTTTGGTTGTTTTTTTTTTTTCCAATTTTGATTCTTTGTAATTTTTAACCCCCTTTTTTTTTTTCACCCTCCCTCTCTTTAGGAAGGACTCATTTCTTATGTTAGCACTCCTACTTGGCAAACTATCAGTGTCTTCCTCGCTGGTGCAATAACTGCTGCCCTTACCATCTGGAAATTGCATTAAGTCTTCTTTCAGTCATACTTGGAGCTGGTCATTTTAAGTAACTTTTTGAACCGGAAGCACAAAGATTATTGGAATTCACTTGGGCACTCGAGCGAATATTGAAGACCTAGCGCTTCCATCAGGGACTTTATAACTTCTTGTGAGTCTGGACATGGTGATCACGTACCTACAGATGTCATCCAATCTGTCATTTTTTTGTGGGAGATCACGTGTTTATTCCTTTTTTATTTGTATTTTTCTCAATCTTTGATTAAATACTTGAATTAATGTTCTTTGCCCCTTCCCCAAAGAAAGGAGAGAAAGAGAGAAAAAGGAAAAAAATAAAATAATGTATTTTATATGAACTTTGAAAATGTGTGGACATATACCTAAAGAACGTGCATTTTGACCTTGAATAGAGTACATCCATTAGGGGGTAGTTGATCTAGAAGTAACGATTTGTGTCTCTGCTATTAAGATGTTAGAAGTAAATTCACATTGCATAGATTGTTGCACCTTAAGAGAACAGAATGTTCCGTTATTTTATTAACCCCTTAAGGACCAAACTTCTGGAATAAAAGGAAATCATGACATGTCACACGTCATGTGTCCTTAAGGGGTTAAAGGGGAAAGCATATTCTTCCCATCTCAGGGTTATCCTGTTATTTTTAGTTTTATTTTTTTAATCTGTGTTTGACAAGATGAACTTTCCAGCCTGTTTTTTAATTTTTTATTTTTTTTTCCTTCTCAAATCTGAGATCTATTATTGGCCATTATGGGCTCATGTGACAATGGCAAGTCTGATTTAAATCATAGAATTTGCAGTAGTTTAATTTTAAGGTGCCAGTCTCTGATTTTTATCAGTTTGTTTTGGTTGAAATCTTAACGGCTGCTTTCATAGAAAGACTTCTGCAAAAATGTAGCTTACATGTCTCATAATGCCCAGGTAATGCCATTATTTTATAGCCCTCTGTCTTTTTTATTAAAAAAAAAAAAGTATTCTCTGGGCCACTGACTGTGAATGATATATCTTACACATGTAGTAATTGACATCCTCAAATAGACTTCTCACACATTATTACTCTTGATTCAAACTGGGTAAAACATAACTCACACCTGCAGCTCATGAAAAACCTTAATGCCTTTTAACTCCGTGCTTACTTTGTTTATAGTTTTTGTCTGTTAGCAACAGAAAACCAATTCACATACAGTGTTTGGTAGGGTAAAAAAAGGTAAGAATTCTAACATTTTAAAGTGGAACTGTTATATTTGTATATTAACTTATTTTTTTCCCTGAACAATATTGAGTTACTGTATTTCTGATCTAACTTCTTGACCACCATTCTAGTTTATGAAAGTCCTAGTATCGTTGGAAATGAGCTTACACTCAAAATTCAGGTGAATTGTGGGATATTTGCTTTCAGTTGCCTATATGCTCCCTTTTTCAGAAGCTGTTTGTGATGTGATATTTGTGATGCCACTATAAGTGTACTTTATGTGCTGGTTTCTAAATCGCTCATTCGCTGGAATGTGACTTCCACCTTCTCTCCCCCCCCCCCAGGTAAACTTTTCCGATCTGAGAATTCGAATCATACTTGCAAAAAGACAACTGTGCAATCCAATTTCCTTTGAGCAAATGTTTATAGTGCACTTTGAAATTTTTTTTTATTTTTTATTTATTTTTTTATTTATTACTACATCAAGTGCCAATACTGCATTCAACAAACATACTTTTACAATGATTTATTAGATCACCAGTGTGACATTTTACAGTTAAACTATAAATGACAATATTTTAATTTACATTTTTTTTTTAAAGTCTTTTGTAGAAGTTTCTCCTGCACTAGGGGTTTGCCATACTCCATTCTGCTCCTTATTTTCTGAAATTTTTTTTTCTGTATTAAATGAAGATCCGGTGCATCCAGAAAAAGCCTTTCCTCACTGATGTGCAACAGAAATGTGTAACTTCAAATGGCCTTGCATTATAGGCAGGTAGAGCCATTATTATGGCTTTGTGAATATAATAGGTTCTATCCTGTGCATGTTTAAGAAAACATTGAAATATCACAGATAAACTTTGACCACGCAGATTCAAAAACAAAAAGAAACAAGTGTTACCTCTGGCTTAATCACCCTTTTGTCTTTTTTATCCATTCAGTTGGTTGTTTCAGTAATTGGCTCCCAGAACATGCCTTAAAATGTATTTATGCCTTTTAAGGAATATATTCACCACTTCTCCCTAGATGTGAAACCTTTTTTTTTTTTTTTTTTTCTGTGTGTATGCTTTCTATATGTTTTGTAAAACTGATGCAGGTAAACTTTTAGGTTTAATTTATTTCGTTTTTTCCTTTTTGCATTGACTTGTTAAGCTGTAGATGGGTGTTTCTGTGCAATGCTAAAAATTACTGGACAAATACTTTATACCAGTATACCTCAACTACATACTGCAAACATTTTAAATAGTTTGAACTTTGTGTCCAATCTAACTCTATTTTGAATGTTTCTTAAAAAAAATGAATTCATTTTATTATAAACTTTATACAGTTCTAAAATATGTACTTGGACAATCGTTCCTTTTTAAAGCAGAATATTGTTGGTCTCTCTTCACAACGTAAATGGAAAAATTCCAGGGTGGATATTGACTGTAGTTTCAATACTTCCACAAGTAGATCTGATATGGACACTCCTGGCACCATAACCACTACAAAGAGCTGTGGGGTTCGGGCACTAACTGTGTCTAGACAGCGGTTTGAGTACTGTAGTTAAAGTGTGCCTGCCCACTGAAAAGCAAACCGCTGTGTTAATCACTAGAGCTTACAAAGTTTCTATTAATTATGTTGTTGTTTTAATTTTTTTTTTAATATGGAAAAGAAAAATCAATTTTAATTCTGTAGCCACAGCTTTTGTTTTTATGTCCTCTTTAATCCTGAAACTTTTCTCAACATGCATATGGCCTCTTAAGATTGACTTTTTTTTTTGTTTTTGTTTTTTCTTGAATACTCTAATATAACAGGTGTTTCCTTTTCATGGAACAGGTTCACTTTAACTTGGGTGCCATGAAGGTCTACTGAAATTTACTTTTTTTTTTTTTTTTTTGCACACCTTGGAGTTCCTGACTTCTTCAGTACTTGACCATGAGCTTACGTAGCAGATGTATGCCTAACATCACACTCCACTGCAACATTTCTGTCTGCGGCTCTTGCTAATCGATTTTTATATGAGCAGCTGCTACAATTATATTTACATAGCGCCAATATATTCCACAGCGCTGTACAATAGGAAACTACGCATTTTTTATTCCAATAAAACACGTATGACATAGGGGAAACGGTTGGTGAAGAGGGACTTGCCCAAACTACCTCACTATCTAAAGTAAATGCTGGACCATATCATAGTCTAAAACTATTGTAGCAACTGCCCATATTAAATTGGTTACTTTTGCACTGCTGCTTTTTCCAGGGCAAATGAAGTCACTGGGAAGAGTCTAGGGGAAGGTGTTTTGGTTTTATATTGCATAACCGTTCAATGGTTACGTGATCTAATTTTACATCTGAGAATAGGTCTCAAAGCTAAACAGAACTCACACATTTTAAAAACAAAATGTTAAGAGCAAACGGTATAAACCAATAGGTATGTTAAGGTTATCTTAAACCGTGCACACCACCAGGGTCTTTCACAGTGTGTTGTGCAAATGTTATATTTGAAGGTGCTCTTCTGTGCGGTCTTTTTTTTATAATTACTGTTAACCCATCGTTGCCTTCTTGATTTTGCTATTACCCTGCTCAATATTTACATCACCGTTACAGTGTATGGCGATGGGTTCTATGCAAAACTAACCATTTTTACAAAACCATGCTATCTCTTAAATTTTAACTTTTCATTTCTTGTCTTCTTAAATGTGTTTGGGATATATTGTTGCTTGTTTTTCTAATTAAAATAAAATGTTTTGGCTATCTGCAAGTTTCCAGTATTTGTATTCATTTAAAAAAAAAATGCGTTTTTTTTTATGTATAGATTTATGTGTTGGAAGGTAATTTTTGCTATATTGATTCTAGGTGTGTGTGTGTGTGTGTATGTGTGTGTGTGTGTGTGTGTGTGTGTGTGTGTGTGTGTGTGTGTATATATATATATATATACACACATATATACATACACACATATACCATTCTTTTTCCTTTTGAGATATCCATGCAAATCGAAAGATCAGAAATATCTTGCAGTCATTGTTAAACTAGTTATTCTGCCATGTCTTGTCTCACTTTTATTTCTGAATAAAAGTTTGAAACCTAAAAAAAATATAGAAATTTTAAAGAAAATGCTAGTCAAATAACAGTGTGTTAATGGACATTTTTCTAAATCCTATAAAGAAAAGTATTGGAGTGGTTTTCTTTTGTTTTGTTATTTTGTATTTGTTCACTTTTAAAATTAGTTTTTGACAGTACATAAAGCAGAGATAACATCGATGAGACACTGAGTATAGTATAGCGTACATGTCAATATCCAGGAAGAAAAGCATTTGTAAAACATACGTAAATGATTAAGAGTATCTTGAGGAGTGCTGTTGTACTGAGATCATCAGATACAGATAGATTGCTATGTTAAAAATGTATCACAGCATTCTATGTAAACTGCTTTTTGTTCCATAAGACCATAGTATTCTCGTTCTAGCAGATAGCAGTTATTTGTAAACCGTTCACAAGGCCTAACTTGTAGGGTTGGAAAAAGAGAGAAAATTAAACTTTTGGGGGGGGTGGGGTGGGGGATAAAGGAGATGATTTTTGACAGCTGGGTGTTGGGAGAGCTTGCTGATAGAATTGTGTCTTAAACTATTTGTGGTGACAACTGGTTTTTGTCTAGGTGTTTGGTTTTTTACCCTCTCAGAATGTAGCAAACTGATGATTTGGTCACTCCTACTGTCCCTGCTATCTATCTGAAGGATTTTTTTTTTTTTGTGGAGCCTAAAGATGGCCTTTTTCACTTGCTTTGAGAGCTCATTTGACTGCATGTTGTGGGTTCACTGCAGCGGCTTCCAAATGCTAATGCCACACCTGGAATCAACTCCAGACCTTTTACCTGTGTAATTGATAAGGAAATAACAAAGGAGTAGCCCACGCCTGTCCATGAAACAGCTTTTGAGTCAACTGTCAAATTACTTTTGGTCCATTAAAAAAAAAAAAGTCTGCATATTAAGGAACTGTAATTCATAAAACTATCCTCCAATTTGGACTGCACTTTAAGTCCATATTCATTATTTAACTAACTTTATAATTTATTTTGGAAAACAGCCAAAATTACAACTTGTCCAAATATTTCTGGACCTAGCTGTGTGTGTGTATACAGTATGTTTCCTGGCCATATCCTTCGCAGAACAACAATGGGTAGCTCCTCCCTATCCATAATTAGACAGGAACCTAATTAAAAGAAGGTATAAGTAACCCCTCCTACCTCTCCCATCTGCAGTATTTTTGTTCCTGTCCTATCCCTAGGACAGACTTAGTAATTCTAAGACTAGATAATTTTTATTTTTGGATTACCTGAGGGTTGTTACCTTCTGCCTCAAGGAAGTTCAGCTTCTCTTCCTTGGGAAGTCTTCAGTACACTGCTCTATGCAAAGGTGACCCCCCTGAAGATACCCCTTTAGTGACTGGGAGTTTTACTTGCTGTGTCCCTAGGGGTAGAAAGATCATGCCATCACCATAATTCCTGCAGTGACCCAAGGGTCAGTGGGCATGCACATACAGAGCATATGGAGTTTCCTGCTGTGACCCTAGGGGTAGCAGGCTGGACATGCATATACAGAGCACGTGGATTGCATGGATTAATTAAGAGGTGAATTGTTAATATATTAAAGGCATATTAATCCATATAATGGCTAACAAGTAGAACCACAAGAATAAGTGCAGACAACATACTTATTATTCATAGTGACATGGAGGGAATATTAATAAAACTCTAAAACATAAGCTCCTATATGACAGTACAGATGTCATAACTAATTGTTCTAGCTGTAGGCGATGAATACAGAGCTTTGATTACTCCCCCCCTATCCAACCCGTAAACACAAACTGGATCATTCCTCATAAATCCCCATCCGACCCTGTCAAAGGCCTTTTCTGCATCCATCAATGGGATTAGAAGGGGAATATTCCTGAACTGAGCTCAGTCCAGGGTATCAATCACTCCATGTATTATTGCATGATTGTCAACCTAAAAGGAAACCAATTTGATCCTCATGAATAACTGATGGAAGCATTCCTTTTATTCTCTCTGCCTAGATAGATGCGTATAATTTTATATCCACGTTGATCAGAGAGAGGTAATTGGCGGGGTCGGTAGAAGATTTGTCCTGCTTTAATATCGGTAAGATGTTTGCCCTCAATAGATCCCCTTATGCCTTACCTTTACCAACTATTTCATTAAACATCACTGTTTAAATGAGGGATTTTAATTTTTCTAAAATATTTATAAAATTGCTGTAACCTCACCCCCAGGCATGAGTTAAACCGCCGTTTAGTAGATCTTCCCTTCCAGAGACACAGGCACAGCTACTGCAGAACCCCAATCTGCCGAACAGGAAACCATATGAATGCTGTAAACAGCCGAATAGGAAAAACCATACGAATAGGTTTACACTCCTAGCAGTCGAACTGGAACAGCATACAATAAATCCCCCCCCCAAGAACAAGACAAAGCTCCATGTTGAGGGTCAAGCAGTGAACAGGCAGAGCTGTGGGTTTATTGTTCTTATATACACCTTAGTACCACCCACAGGGTTTTGGAAAACAACCAATAAACACGTACAATACACTCAGACACTCCCACACAAAATCCTCCTCTCTGCCTGTGATACAATTACCTTACACAATGGGTAATGTAATTATCACCGGCACAGAAATACAGTTTTTCCACACTATTCATAACTTGAAAAGTATGAATCACATTCACATAAAACTTACATTTTCAGAATCCACATACTCCAAATACAAACGTGTCAAAATCATCCAAATTGGTCCATTGGTTCAAAAGATAGATCGAAGTGCTTTGTGACCAAATGAAGCATGGCTTTTCTGCCCATAATCAGTTCCACAGAGTCTTCTATCCCGGAGATAATTGGGAAGAAATCCAATTATCTCCAAGGACAGAGGCAAAACTCCATTGAACACATGGCAGCAAAAGACAATAAAACACATAAAAACATATAACTGTGCAACGATTGCACAAAACAGGTACATTCAACATATCCCCAGATAGCTCAGATCTGAGCGCACATTACTGAATGGCGCGCAGAGCACACACCTACAGTTCAATTGCCATGGAGCCAAAGTCTTTCCCATAGTATTTCATTATACGAATGGGCTCCATGGCATAGCTATCTGGGGAATTACCGGTCAAACAGGGCCAGCACCGGATGACCCGGCTTTCGTGTCTTCGCAGGGGAAAATCAAGCGTTTC